CTGCAGTCCAGGAGGCTAACTTCAAGGGAAAGGTAGAAGGATCTAATTAATATCTAACCCTTGGCTGGTGGTTAGGGCACTTTGCTGGGATGTGGTATATGCACATTCAAATCCCTTGTGGGGGATGGGGGCCTAAAACCCAGATACCCTTGGGCAAGTACTCTAGCCACTAGGCTACTAGACTAAAGCATGAGAGGGCCTGCCCCCTTGTCCTCCCCATTTTAGGGCTATTACCTGACCAAAATGTTGGGACTTACCTGGGCCATCCAATTTTGCTGCCAAGGTGCCAGAAAAAGCATAACCCTTCTGAGTATGCTCAGTTGACAGCTAAGTGCCATACCCAGAGCCAGACTGCAAATTGTGCTTAGGTGGCGCCCAGTCTCAGCAGAGGCCTCTAAGCATCACCATCTCATACATAAAAAAAAAAAGTTACTGGAGTAGGGGCAGGACGGCCCCTAAAGCTCACACGTTTCATGTCACTCCCATTGAAAGCACTGAAAATTACATGTGAAGACAAGTATTTCTACACCTACTTTAAAGCAGGGACAGAATTAGTAAATACACAACCAAGAAGCTTGAGTGTATTTTGCATAGAGGAAGTCATACAGCCACAGAAAATTAGGGTTGGAAGAGACCTCAGGAAATCATCTAGTTCAACCCCCTGTTCAAACCAGCATCATCTCCAACTAGATTATTCCAGCCAGGGCTTTGTCAAGCCAGGTCTTAAAAATGTCCAAGGATGGAGATTCCACCACCTCTCTAAGTAACTTGTTCCAGTGCTTCCCCACCCTCCTAGTGAGAAAGTTTTTCCTAAAATCCAACCTAAACCTCCCTTGCTGCAACTTGAGACCACTACTCCTTGTTCTGGCATCTGTCACCACTGAAAACAGTTTGCCTCCATCCTCTTTGGGCACATCTACACATCGCTGTACGGCAACTTTGCTACAGTGCTGTGCTTTAGTACTTATTTTTGAAAGTACTAAAGCATGACGCAATATGGGCAGTTGCTGACTGTGTGCATGACACACAGGTAATTTTGGAGCATGCTGCTATGGCAATGTAGCTGGCAATCATGTGTAGACATAGATGATCACTGTTACCACCATGTAGTGTGTCACTATGTCGCCATAAGGTGATGTATAGATGCATCCCTAGTAACCACTCTTTTGGTAGTTAAAGGCTTCTATCAAATCTCCCCTCAGTCTTCTCTTCTGCAGACTAAATAAGCCCAGTTCCCTCAGCTTCTCCTCATAAGTCATGTGCTCAGGCATGTTTGTAGGTCCCATATGTAGTGAGGGGAGGGGGAAGCTCACCTTAATCCTTCTCGAAAACAGAACAATAACACAGAGTGGGACAGAGCAACCCAGGCCAACAGGGAGGATCTGAATAGTGTTAGGAAGTAGGAAAGAAAGAAAGAAAGATAAAAAAGAATCTGGTGACTAAATTCCTCCAGAATTTGTATTCATTCCTCCTTTGTCTTTGGGAGAAGGCATTTGGCTTATTTTCATATGTCCGCCATGACTAACTTCCCTGTTCAGGGCTGGTTAAGTATTGTAGGCTTGTTTTTCTACCCAGCCTCTGAAATACCTTTCAGCATCCTTTACTGGCAATCATGCTACAAAGCAATTTAGCTTCAGCCAGAACATAGTAAAATGGTAAAAGGTACTTTAAAAAAGTGATATCCTTAAAAAGACCCCAATAAATGTGCCTCTATTCATATAAACATCTGAAGAAGTCAGCTGAAAACTAACCAGAACTAACAGAAAGTTTATCTAACTCTATCCCCACTATGCAGTTGGTCCAATAAAAGATTTCACTCTAAGAAATCCCCGCCTGTCTGAAAACTAGAGGCATTTATGGAATAAGACTAGATTAAATAGGCATATTACAGCTCAGAAAGAGATAAAATACTACTATTTTTTAAACGGACAACACTTACTAGCTTTATTTCTCATAGTCTAATATGTGGGGAAGGACACTACTGCAAAAAGGGTGTAAAATGTTACCAAACCTAAAAGATCCTATTTCACACTTCTTATGGTAGTGACCCTAGGGCAGGCAGAGAAGCTAGATCCCTAGGTCAGTATTGTGCAAAGTGAGTGTGTGGATAAACGTACCTTTCTGACCCTTCAAAAGAGGAAGGGGAGTTGCTGTATGGGAGCTTGTATTAGCTGTTGAGTCAACTGTTATGTCTGCATCATCCTGTCACATACATGTGAGCTAAATAACTCTAATTTTGATTGTTGAAGGCAGGGTTAATGCTGAAGTGGTATCATGACATAAGAATTATAGCAGCATCTATCACAGAGGCGGGCAAAATGCGGCCCGGGGGCTGGATGCGGCCCGCTAGGCCATTCTATCCGGCCCATGGGGCCCCTAAAAATATAGAAAATTAATATTTATCTGCCCTGGGCTGTCTGTCATGTGGCCCTCAATGGCTTGCCAAAACTCAGTAAGCGGCTCTCCGCCCGAAATAATTGCCCCCCTGATATCAGTATGTTTTGATATCACCATCATTATTATGTCTGTCCATACACTTAGGACTTTACACATTTTGCAGTAGTGTAACTGGGGACCCCATGTGCCAGGCAGGGAAGCATGAGATCTTTAGGCACCTGTATTACTGAAGAACTGTTTAAGTTCATGGTTTCATAGTTGTTAGGGGCTGGAAGGGACCTTACAGATCATCTACTTCATAGTTCCAGCCACATTGCTTACCATCCCTTTTCTTCTTCTCCCCCAAAGCCTCCATGCTATTAATTCAATTCTAAAGTAACTACTAACAATGTTTCAGATGGAAAAAGAAAAAAAACAAAAAAACTGGATGCTTTCAATTTATAAAGGTCCCAGGCAGGGAAAAAGAGATTGGCAGAACATTTAGAGGCATGAGTTCACATTTGTGTTCCTGAAGCCTGACATCATTTTAGTTTCACCGGCTTCTAAGAATACACATATTAGAAATCTCTATTCCCTACCCCTACCAACCTTTGTAACTGAACAATTAGTCAAAAGTTTGGCTCTCTGTGGACTTTGCTGCAAGCTAAATGTTTACTCTGATGGAAATTTGCAGCTAGAGTTACACATTTGGGAAGACTGTAGTTCATATTAGAAATGTTCACTCACCTTCTTTGACTCTAGCAGTATAGGCATGCTATGTTTCATAACATGGATGCCTGAGATCTCATTGCATGTAGAACATCCTATTTTTCAGATTCTTTATACTGGACTGGAATCAATTGGAGATTTTGAGATCTGTTATGCTCTCACGTCATATACAGAGCAGCAAACTCTATCCTTCAAGTTCCAGGTAATTTTAGAAAGAGTTGCTTAAATTAGTTCCCTGGTTTATGCTACAGTTTGGTTATAATTCTCTCATCAGTGTTATCATTTTTTCATTAGGTTTCCCCTGGAGGATTCTTGTGAGTGAATCTAAGAATGGAAATGTCATCTTTTATTTTCTAACTGCCATGCACATACTGTAAAGAGTTTCTATGACGGTTATTATGAATTTATCTTGGGACTTGATCTATCGAAATCAGCATGAGTTGTAACTGAGGAAGGACATACAGAATGAACCCACTATATACATTATGTGCACATTCGGGCTAATCAATACATTACCTGCATCATTACGTATGTATGTACAAGTGTTGGCTTGCAAATACTTAAAATTATATTGTTTATTTTTCACACAGATTGGCTGGGAGATAAGCCATCCATTACACATACGGCAACTGGAAAGTTCAAACTTCTAAACCTCGGCCATTTTTGGATAGCACATGTACAAAAAAACCCTAATTTTTTTCAAAAAAGGGATTATTTTTTGCTATCACATCAAAATAAAATGGACAAATTGAATAAAGAAGTCCCTCTTGAAGATTTGACAACAAGCATACCAACTATCAATTAATATAGCTAAAGGGAGATCAGTGACTCAAAAGTGAAAAACTGAATCATAAGTTTAACTCTGTGATTCTCAACCTTTTTGAAACTCAAGGTTCCCCTTGGAAAATGCCAGCTCTTACTTTTCACTCAGTTTTTGACTACAAAGAAAAAAAATAGAGCAGTTCTTCTGTGACAAAAAACTCAGAAAGACCACAACAGGTCAAAATGTTTTTGACATTATGGATTCCTATTTGAAATCTCTTGGTTTATCTTGCGAAACACATGTAGGTGTTTGCACACCTAACAGTGCTAATATTGAGCAGCACTATATGGCTCCATTAAGAGATTCTCACAGCATCTTGGTAGAGAATCACTGGTCTGACTGAACAGGTACTAGCTAAGGTACTAGTAACAGCAGAATTTACTAGAACAAAGAAAATTAACAGAAACAAATCGGTGTTTCTTCTTTGCATATTCACTTTGTTCACCTGGCAGCACTTTGTGCATAGTCAGAATCACTGGGGTTGTCTGTTTGTTCCTTCAGTAGGGGGCTACCTGGTAACAGCTATAGAGGTGAAGCTGACAAAGAAGGGAGAAAACAAAGCACCAGATAGGTATGTGCAGAAAGAAAAAGAGGAAGGAAATTAAAGGCCTTAGGTGTGTTGGCATTGGTGCTCTTAGGCCCACTAAACAGCATTTCTAGAACATAGAAAAAGTAAGAAAAGGCTTGTTGTAAAACTTTAAAAAATCAATTTATAAGGGTATCCAAAAAAAATTAGGACACGCTAATACTTAAAATTAAGAAAAATGTTTGCAACTATTTAGTTGGTCTAATAAAAGATATCGCCTCTATCAAGAGTTCTAGTAAATGTTTCTGTAATTTCTTAACTTTAAAGTTGAAAGTGTGGCTTTAATGTTTTCATGCTAACTCACACAAGTAGTAGATAATGAAAAAAAATACTATTTAGGTTTCAAAGTCAGTTTGCCTGAAAAAAAAAAATCAGACCTTTTGTGTGAATGATATATACTACCATCCCCCAACTGATCAGCATATATTTATATAGACATCAATATAATGTAATATTAATGACAACATGTTTCTAGAAACAACTTACATTCTTTGGACATTCCCACTTCAAAGCACTTTTGTAGTCTGCAGTACTGGCAGCGATTTCTAGTGACTTTATTAATAACACAGTTTTTATCTCTATGACACGTGTAAACCATGTTCTTCTGAATACTTCTTCGGAAAAAACCCTGCAAGCAAACAGAAAAAAAAATACTGAAATTAACCCCTTTCTTTTATGTACTACCACATCCTCTTAAACTGAAGACACAATAACTAAATTATACCTGCATTATTATTACCATATGATTTAACATATTAAATCTAATATTATTTGTTTGAAGCAAAAGGAGCATCTTTTATACCAAAAAAAGAGAATTTGCTCACTTGCAAGGCAAAAACAACTAAAACTTAATAGAAGCTCTCAGAAATGGAGAGAGCAGGTAACTTGCAGGTTAGGTTTGGCTTATGGATTTAATTATTAAGTCTAAGCAATGGCCCTCCTGACCAACTCACTAAAAATAAACTTCCTAATCTAGCATAGCACAGTTTATTCCAGGCCAAGAAATCTGAATTCTGTGTATTGACCATATTCAAGTTTTTACTTGACATATAAAAGGTGAAAAGACTTGCTATTGCCCAGAACTTCTAATGCCATACATCTACACATGGAGGATTTCCAGAATCAGGCTCACTAGTACTCTGAGTCTAGAAACCTTCTCAAATATGCTATTTTGAAGCTACATTATACAGACAATAATAGCTAAAACCCACGCATTTGAAATGTTACCAAACAGAAATCAAGGAAACAAAACTGAAGGTCTGGTTCATACTAACTGCATCTTTCAGATGGATTCCTATTGTAAACAAAAGCCAGGGGGGAATTAGTGTAACCTCTGCTCTCCTCTGAGCATATTACCAGTAGTTTGAAAACAAAGGCAAAAAGCTCTACATTCTTTATATTTTCCTGAAAACCAGACTATGCATGTGTCTATGTATGAAAGGGGCAGGAAAAAGCTAGGAAATTCAAGAATCAAAGACACTGTTATTTACTGATACACATTAATAAAGGTTAATGGGACTTCTCTATCCACAACAGGTGAAGTAAATATTTCCATACTGTAGACAGTTCTACATAATCTGAATATGTAGAAACAGGACTTTACAGTTCAGATATCCTGATAGAGGATGCATCAGAAAAATGTCAGAGTACTAATTAACCTTCCTTCTCAGATTTTCAAGAGTGTTTTACTGCAGGGCTAATTTTCAGTCAACACCATGGCAATATAAAGGAACATATTGCTACATATGCAGCATTTGCTGGAGGGTTTGGGGAATTCATGTCCAACAAGCCATAGGTTTATAGCTGATAGAGCAAAGTGAAATATAATCACAAGGGCTAAGGGCAGAAATTATACATAAACTGGTATAAATGATCAGAAACCAGTTCAAATCTGTAACACAACAGGGCTAGGGACAGAAGTTACATATAAACCATTTTAAGGTGTCAGAAACTGGTTCAAACCTGTAACAGAACAGAAGTTGAGTGCACATAAACCAGTTTCAAAATGGGTGAAACTGGTTTAAGATAAACCTGGTTGAATGTAGTGTCAGACTTAATTGATTTAAGTCAAACCAGTGCATGAAACTTCGGTCCCAGACCCCTTCCTGGTTCAAGTTAAATCACAGTCCCCCAGCATGCTTTCCAGCCCTGGGCTGGGATGAGCTGTCTGCTCCAGCAAAGAAGGGTTGGGGTGTGGGGATGAGGCTGAGATGGCACTCCCCCCCCGACCCTTGCAAACCTGGCTGTGGTCTGGGGCCAGGGTGAGGGGTTAAACTTCCCTTACCCTGAGTACGGAGCTGCCCTGCCCTGCTGAAAACTTACTGCTGGCTGCAACTATGGACTACAAATCCCAGAGGCACCTGGAAGCAGGAAGAAGTAGTGATGGGCAACCCTGCAAAGTCCTGCTGCTGTAATTCTGGACTGCAAATCCCAGGGACCTTGTGGGCAGCATGAAGAGGAAGCAAACACACAGCCCATACTGGCTACATGCCAGACAGCCATACTTCAGTGCCCTTCTGGCCTGAGCCACTGAAGGTTGTGGCAGCATTTTCTGAATGAAAAGTGAACGTCTCTCCAGTTGTTTCTCAGTTTAATCTCTGCAGCTTAGACTAACCTGCAAAGACTGAAGCAATTCAGCCTCGAGCTTTTTGACCGTCTGTACTTAGACCAGAAGTTCAGTGCACAAAAACCACTTTCAAAACGGCCAAAACCCAGATAGTATTAGACTTAACTGATTTAGGTTAAATTGGTTTATTGAACTTCTGTCCCAGATCCCCTTAAGATTCAAGTTAACTCAGTCCCCCAGCATCCCAGAATGCTTTGCACCTCCCTCACAATTCCCCTCCTCCCCCCACTTGCAGGGTGGCTGGGCTAGTATTGGCCCAAGCTTCCTGCTCCAGTCAAGCAGGGAGGCATGCTCTAGTGCTCCCCGGCTTCTGGTCTGGGCCACTGCAGGCTTGTGTCTGCATTTCTGGAATCAAAAGTGAATGTCTGTTCACTTATTTCTTGGTTCAATCTATGCAGTTTAGACTAATCTGTGAAGATTGATTTGATTCAACCTCGGGCTTTTTGATGGTCTGTACTTAGCCAAGGGGTACAGTGGTAGTTCTGCATTTATAATGCCTTTGTCCCAAGATTCATTCATTTTGGACCATGTGAAAGGGTCTCTTAATAATAATTTTAGAGACAGATAAGCAGCCCGATGCTAAGAAATCATAACGTTAACAGTTTGCTATGACCAGTAAGGAGTATGATCAAGAAATGGAGAGGCAGATCTACATAGTGAGGGCTACTTATGTATTTCTTGCACACCCAGAGTACTACTGATGCTCACATTATGAAAATATCTGCAATTCTGAAAGAGGAACTGAAAAATGGTTCCTTAAACATGTAATCTTTTGGGACTTGAATGGGAAGGTCTCCTTTTGAGGTTAGTTCTTCTGACTGCTTTTAGAAAGCGTTTGATACTATTGGCAGAGGTGAAAAGCTTGTTTTTTCCTTTAAGCCATCCATCATCTTCTCAATCATAAAAGCAATTTACACAAATAAATATTTAAAATATATACCAATGTACGCATGTTGTGGCCATGCACTGTGTTTATGCAGTTAGTTAAATCTCCTATTTGAAAGCTTGCAAGAGAAAACAGGGCAAACATTTGCTACCCCAGTTGCAGAGGAATTGTGTGTTTATTGGTTTAACACAATATTTATATGTTAACCACTGAGGGGAGATATCACAATGATGATGCCCTTTTATCTGGGTCCCATTCAATTATTAATAGAATCAATTCTTCTAATTAGAGCTGTGCAAAAAATTGATATTTTGGTTTTGGTTTATTAGCTGAACTGAGGTAAAGTATATATTAGTTTTAACCTATAACAAAATATTTCTATATTTTAGAAAGCACTTTAAATTGAATTTTGACCTCAACAGGATTTTCTGTCTGAAATAGTACAAAGTGCAAAGAATTTCAGTTGACCTACTGCTGAATTTTTTTGGTGAATAAAATATTGGACTAAAAATTTCACCAACCTCTACCCTCTGAGGAATGAACTGTTATCCCCAATTTACTGATGTCACAAAGGCAGATGAAGTGACTTGTATAGTTACTTAACAACCTCAAAATGCAGTCAGTTAACAATGGACTCTCACTACAGACTAGTTCAGAGCTGGCATGTGTAGTAGTGGAGTCACATGTCCTATTTTCCCCTCAAAGCATATATTTGGCATTTTCTGCTTTTTTATTTCATACTATATTGCTATATTTCAGTGGCAGCCAGTATTTCCTCCTAAATTGAGGGTATTGCTAATTGAAACTCAAACTGGTGAAATCACATCTCTGCCATTCAAAGAATGATATTATTTACACTAGTGGTGTCCGACTCACCCTGTGCCCAGTGTCCCATGCCAGATCTGGACCAAGTGGCTCCTCATATTCCAGATCTACAGGGCCAGCAGTGATGGTGGTGGGACTGGCAGTGGTTGTGAACATGGCAAAAGCAGTGGGACAAAAAACCTGCCCGTTAGCCCCCTGCCACTGACTGCTGGGTCAAACAGGGCTCTCTGGCCTTGGATTCTGTGGCAGACCAACCCCCACTCCCAAATTCCCTGGCTTACCAGTAGTCTGGCAGGTGGGATGTGCAGGGCTGGATCAGGCCCACAGGCCATAGTTTGATACCCTTGGGTTATCTAGATTATACAAATCAAGGAGCCAACTGCTCTGAAGAAAACAAAAGCAATATTGAATGCTGCAGCTGTCTTTCTCCTCACTTCAAAATAAGTGAGCTACTAGAACAATAACACCATCCACACCATAGGAATACAATATAGACTGTAAGTCCTTTGGGCAAGGTGATGATTTATGTCTGTACACGAACAGACCTAAAATGAAAACCAACCAGCAAATATAAGAAAGTCACCCAATCCAGATAATAAGGGAAACAAAAACCAAAATATATCAGTGGTATGTAAAATGGACATTATAGCCATTTGACACCTATTAACAGGTCACTCATTCTGATACAGGTTCTGTTGGCCCACCAGATCTAAATGACCCTTTAACCTGGGGTTTAATTACAATCCATCAAGAAGAAAAAGAAGAAGACTGACTCACTCCTTAATACTGTACACAGAACTAGGATATGCAGCCAAACAGAAAAAGGAGATCCAACTCCAAAAGACAGTAACTCTCTGCAATGTATACATAGTACTTGTATTCATTACCAACGTAGAAGGCAGCTTAAAGACCAAATAGGTATGCAGGCTTTGTCCCCTTGACTTGTTCCACGGGATAATTTGTACAAATAGAATAACAACTAGACGCTAGTAATATAACTTATAAAGTATTTTAACAGTTTTGTTTCATTTTCTCTCTTGATTTAGCTAAACAACACTTAAGAAATCCCAGATCTGTTGCCTTTCACAGACTGAAGATTCATAAATGTACAACACTGGTCCTGAGCAACACTAAGTCATGGAAATAATGTTGAGAAATAACATCTACATGCTGAATACTATTCTTAAAAGCTATACCCCTTTTACTGGTGTTTGTGACAGACTCATTTTAAAAACAACTGAAATTATTTGGTCTTCAGAATTACTTTTGGACAAGCATTACGAAGAGTGCC